GTTCCCCGGTAACTGTCTGTAATTTCACTATGGTGGGGCAAATAGTTGTTTTATTTCTCACCGTTTCAGGCTTCACCAGGGTTTACCTTCGGTGTGTGGTTATCCGCACTCCATGAAGCAGTACATAGCATCTCTCCCTCTGTGGCTAGCTCCAAAGCCTCCTGTAGAGACTTGGGGTGGGCAAGCAAAGTCTGTGTACGCAGGTCGGCGGAGAACATGTGGAAAAGATCAAGAAAACAGAACAAGTAAAGGATCGAGGTTAATAGTCAAAAAGAGCTGGAGGGCAGACACAATCAGCAGAAGAAGACAGACAGGGAGTAAACACTAAAGGGAACAGCAGAAGAAGATAGACCGGAAGTAAATACTAAAAGGAACAGCAGAAGAAGATAGACCGGAAGTAAACACTAAAGGGAGCAGCAGAAGAATACAGACAGGGAGTAAACACTAACAGGAACAGAAGAAAAAGACAGACAGGAAGTAAACACTAAAGGGAAAACCAGGGGCTTTTCCCATTTCTCTAATTCCCCTCCTCGACTCCTATCCTCCTGTCTTAGTCCCGCCCACAGGAGATGCGAGCGGAGGACTGAGGAGGGGAACCGAGGAGAGAGAAGGGGAAGCAGCAGGCGGTTAGAGAAATGATAACTCCTCTCCTCCGAGCGGTCATTTTAAAGAGACGTCCATTAATGATGACAGGAGGCACAGCAGCCCTCTGTCTGATGGACAGATGTGTTCATGACCACTTATATATTTACTTTGATTCATTAACAGTGTGGTATAATGAGACAATAACTACAGATGCGGACATATATACACACACACACACACACACACACACACACACACACATACATATATATATATATATATATATATATATATATATATATATATATATAGCAGTTCAGGTAAAATGTGTAAAAATAACCAGAGATCCTTGAAACTTGAATGCATTGTAATGTGGGAAGGAGGCCTTGCAGACTACAGATAACAGAAGGGCATCAAATCAACAGAGAAACACATCGGTTGGAAATGAAGACATGAAGACACTGGATGATTGTTTTAATATCTTTATTTTTCAAATATATTGATATTTAATTTGGTGTATTGTATGTCATCAAATTGTGATTCAACAGCTCATACAATTCATTTTCAACGTTTAAACTGTTGTATATATGTTGCATGTATGTTGTGGTTGTTGCTGTTGTTCTTGTTGTTGTTGTAATGCACTTATAGGTGTTATATTTAAATCCATAATAAGAAAAGTCGATATATCAGAAATTAGGGGGTGGATCTATTCATTATTCTTCAGTAGACCATAGTTATATAACAGTACTTCCATTTAGAGATCAAAACACCAATAAACAATCAAAATGTACAATACATTACAAACGAAGGCCTCTGTATTTAACTTTAAATATAATTGAAAGAAGAGACTGCTTATTTTCAGCAATGTTCACATGTAAACATTTAAACACGTGCACTTGAAGCATAGGATCATTTTGTTAAAAAGCGATTCAAGCAGTCTGCAGGCGACAGATTGGCAAAGATTCAGACAAAGTAAGACTCATGGATATTAACAAAGTGCTTGACTTTATAAAAGGATAAAGTATAAAATTGTGTTGTCAGATAGACTAGAACCAGCTCAACAATATCTGCTTTTAGCAACGACCTGTAAACATGGCAGGTAGTGTAAACGCACGTTTAACCATATAGAACATGTTAAAACTAATGCTGAAGTACAGTTACTTTCCTACAAAGGTACTAACAAGTGGTTACTCATTTTAAAAACAGTCAAATATCTGTACACATTTTGATAAGCGAAAAGTTTAAGGTGTACTCTTAAAAATAGAGCACAGTGCTGCGATCAGACACCCGTGGTGAGTAGAGGAAAACAAAACGATATGGTTGATACGGTCAGTCTGTCGGATATTTCTGGGATATATAGCGTGTATTCGTCACTCCGATACACAAACTACCAGTGTTACACTTGAGTCTGAGTGGGCACTGTGCCTCAAGACAATGCATTCATGTAGAGGTGCATCATTAACAGTTATTTGCCAATTTCACATTCTTTTTAAAAATAAATGCTTCACCATTTTGTAAATTTTTTATGTACAGTATATTTATGTAATAACTGAAAAAACATATCTAATAATGTTATGTCTATATGTACAATTATGCATCGTATTGCAGCACAATCTAACACTGCGCGTAGTGAGAAACAAACTAAAAATGTATAATATTGTTAGCCTTTTACTGGTCCTGCTATGTGTACATCACTACTATAATGATTAAATAATACACTTCCCTTAAGTTTAGTCCCTAAAACTTGTATATAACTTTCACATTTTTGCCAACAATGCTTCTGAGGTGCATACATTTGGGATTTGCATCAGTTTTTCTAATGATGATGGAATGAACATGTTTAATTATGTGTAGAATTGAAAGGATATAAAACACATTTACATTGGTTTTATTTAGATTGAATTGCCAATTTATCAGTCAGGTTTTTGTTTGAAACACCTTGCTGTCTTCATCTCTTATTTTATAGGACCAGAGTGTAGGATTTAGTGCCCCTGAAAACCCCTCCCTCCATTTCAAGGCGTGTGGAAGATCCTACTGTGGATTTCAGGTCCAATCAGATTGGTTGGCTAAATTACTTATCCAGCAAAAAGATATGCAACTCTGAAAACATGTCATTTATCAGAGATTTGGAAAAGGACACACTAATGTTAACAGCTTTTTTGTTTGTTTAATAGTCAGTTTAATTAATTTAATCCAATTTCTTTTCAAATATGGCTTCTCAGACTCTTCACAGCACATGATGGTTAGCCAGCTTTAGCAAACACGACATCCTCTTTACCTTCCAATAATTTTTATTTGTGCAATTAATTTCAACACAAAAGATTGAACCTCCATATCCTGACTGTGTTTTAGTGTGGTTGCTATGGGCTACTGTAGAAATATGGGACCCGATCCCAATGATATGATATGATATGATATGATATGTAAGGCTTATTCTATTCAGTTTCAGGAGATGATATACTAATCCCTGGACATTTAAAACCACTGGGTGCTTCTAACATTGTTCCAGTCGGGGTAATGTCACGTTTAAAGGGATTTCAGACTTGTTTTGTTTACTTTATACATTAAATGGTATGGATAAGTAAACATGTTTTAATTGTTTAACTCATATAGGAAGAGTTCCTTCTAATAATAAGTTAACTTAATGAATAATCTAACCCATGGTCCACTCTTTCCAGCACTACAACAGCAACAGAAGTCAAATGATTTCCCACTAACTAGAGTATGAAGAGAAAATCTCCCAAATACCTGATGATGAGCATAACAAGTTTTACTGAGGCAATTCAGCCCAAATGAAACAAATGTGTTTCTAAAAGTTATAGAGTACACAGCTTTGCATGTTCGCTTTGTAAACGTAAAAATACAGAGAGATTAGATACCTCCGTCACAACAGATTACATGTCCTTTCTCCATGTGTGCCACGACAGAGGAGTGAAGCGTGTGCGACTTTCCTTCATCCGTCACACAGCCGCAGGTTAACACCTGGATCTGAAGCACAGCTGGTTTCTCTCCTCTTCAGCACATCATGCAGTAATGTCCGTTCAGCTCAATAACAGTTCAAGATCTAATCCACCCCGTCGAAGCCTTGTGCGTTCTCGATGGCGATGTGAAGTTTCTCCCTCAGCTCCTCAAAAGACTCATAGGGAGGCAGGTCCAGCCGATTGAAGCTTTACGAGGTGAAAGTAAAAACAGTGAGCAAATCAAGAAGAAAATCACTTTCCAAAGAAAACAGAAAGAGTAGGATAACCTCAAGCTGCAATTTGGTCATTCACAATTCTTAAAGGGACAGTTTGGATGTTTTGTATTGCGTGACATTTGGTAGTTCGGTTTAACCACAGCAGAACATTGCTTTGATTCCTTGCCGGTACTTCTGTCCGCTTCTAAAAAGTAGGAGTGTGCTGAACCGTCATAAGGGTTGAGGGAGTGTCCACATACAGATTCACAAAGTGATCTTAAGACGTGTTGCAGCGTAGGCAAACATATTTAAAATCATTGGAGCTCTGATGTGTCCCACTGAGCCTAAAGGACAGTTCTCAAAAAGTAGAGGGAGGCCATGACTGCATCCCGCCACCAGGGGGCTTCAGCACACTCAGTTACATCACATTGTACTGGGTCTTTTTTATTTATTCATTCATTAATAATTACAGAATACTTTAAAAAGAAAAAAGTTTTCGTCTCGCAAAAACTGATTGAAAAGGGATCTTTTGCACACAAGATAAACAATATATTTGATCTGCTCCCAACATCCTAGCCACACAGTGAAATAAAAATAAAAACAATATACCAAATGGTTTTTTGTGTTTAATTTAGGTTTGATTGGTGTTATGCTTCATCTTGATTGTGTGCATAGTCAAATCTTGGTCAAACATTTTATTTTGAAAAGCACTTTACAAATGAAGTTTATTATTATTATGTATTGATGATATTCGCAAATGTTCCTCAGAGTTGAACTGTAATCTCTCGTTACAAACCCCCCTCCTAAACATAACCAACACATCAGTAGCAAGGACAGCAGAAAGCAGTGTGGTTTTTGGGCTAAAACTTCTCCAACCTTTTAAAATGTCAGAAAATAGGAATAAATAAAATGTTAGGAGTTGCTCACCATGTGTGGGCTCGGGGGAGTTTTTCACGTGTTCCCCACTGCTCGATGGTGAACAGCTGCGGTCCGTTCGACCCTGGAAAACAAAACCGTCAAACATCAGACAAACACACGCAGCTTTATCTGGAAATCATTTCCAATAAAAAAAGAAAGAAAAAATAAGTTCAAGCCACCTGTGCATTATAAACAAGTGTCCGCAGTGTCTATTTTATTTTACATTATAAGAGGATACAGGAGAGAATAATCTACACTAAACTGGAAAACTTTGTTTAACAATGATACATTTGGCAGTTTCAATAGCTGTTATTCATTTATTTTCATTTAATCGTTTATTTGAATAAGGACAATGCACATTAATGAACACTTAAGACAAATAATGCTTCAAGTGTAAATATGCCGGATTTTAGCTTTGAGCTAATTTCCATCCGTAGTCCCGTCACATGCAACATATAAGAACATGACATTTATAAACATAGCCAAAAATAAATACATGATATGCAAAAAGAGCAAGAGCAGCATACACAAGTATTTATGACATGGTAATACAATATAGCAGCAGCGACATATAAAGTGCAAGAGATGATACAAGAGCTACCTAAAGTGCAAGAGGAGATACCCCTGTGTTAAAGTGCATTTAGCGGTGATTACGTCTGTTTGTTTCTCAACCATTCTTTGAGTTGACCTTTAAAACTATTGAGAGTGGGACAATCCCGTATCTCAGTTGGGAGGCTATTCCAGAATGAGCTGCCTTTAATGGAGAGGACATTTTGTCCAAAAGTGGTCCGTCTACGGTGGACCTCACAGTCTCCTCTGGTTTCTGACCTAGTGCTGCGTCCAGTGTGTGTTTTGTGGATGAATTCCCTTAATGTAAACATTTATAAAAAAAGCCATACTTTTAAAAGACTTACAATTGTCAAAACTCAATAAATTGGGTTTTTCAAGGATGGTACAGTGGTATTATGAATAAGGCTTTCTGTCA